GAGCACTGGAGTCCTGGGGCTCCCAGCACCCCTGTGCTGCCATCCCTGCCGGGCAGGACCTGGGGACAGGCACCGCTGCTGTGTCCTTGTGCCACGTCGGAGAATCACTTTCTATTTTCTCTGACTGCAATGGAAATATTTGTCTGAAACTCACCCACAGCCCTCCCGCTTCTGCCTCGCCGGGGGCACAGAGTCGCCTTTAAGAGGAGAGCGGCTCCGAAACTCGGGGTGCCGCGGGCAGACCCTGCTCTGGCTGCGCTTCCCGGCGCTCCCACGGGGATGACTCACCCGGATCGGATTGCTACGGCTTTATTTGCTTACAGGGTGAACCGGCAGGATGCTCTTGAGGAAAAGTGGAGGGTTTTTGCCATTGGAAAAACTTAATTTGTTGAAACTGTAACTGCAGGAAAACGTGGGATTCACATCTCCTGCCTGGAGGCAGGCGGCCAGCGAGGCTGCTTCCGGCTGTGGGGACATTTGGAAAATGAAAGACTGTTTTGATTAAGGCTTTTCTGCTCTTCAAGATTCAAGGCAAAAGTCTAAAATCTGAAACTTAACCAAAAAATTTCCAATCCGTCACAGCTGAGTGTTTTCACGGGCACAACATGCTGCTTCTCAGGTCTTCACTTCCCACCCAAACCCTCTGTTTTCTTCCCTGAGGGTGAAACCTGTGTGGCAGGTGCTGGAGGTCGATGTGGGAAGAGGCAGAAAAGCAGGAGGTGCCCAGGGTGCTGCTGCCCCTTCCCACCCACCAGACTCTACTGACATTGGGTTGCATCAGGGACTGGCCTCAACAGCCCTCTTTTGTCCAAGATCTGGATAAGCCCTGTATGAACTCATCCTCCTGACGATCCAGTGCACGGCAGCACCTGCTAACCCTCCTTCATCACCTGTGTGGGAATTGGGAATTCTGGGGGTTCAGCCTGCATGCAGAGGCTTGGGTGCTTGGGGGTTAGGGATCAGTCCTGGATAAGGTGCTGGGGGGTGCAGGATGAATCCCAGCTCTCCATGAGGTCTCACATGAGACACCAGCAGCAGCTCCAGGACGGATTAGCCCAGCCCAGCACCTGTCAATCTGCCTAGCCCGTCACACAGGCAGAGCACAGGGCTGAACACCACCATTAATAGCATCTGGATAAGCTTTATCCATTTCTGCTATAATCAGATCCTAAACCCTCCTGGACAGTGACTCCTGAGCTCGAGCAATCCCGCTGCCGTTCCCAGCAGCCGAGGAGCGTGTGCTCATTGTGCGGCAGCGATACCATCGGCATTAGTAATGGGAGCCCACGATACAGCTACTCGTGGTTTAGCCCTTTCAGGAGCACAGCGGCAAAATGAGGCCTTTGTGATTATTCCAGCATCCTTTTATCAGGCATTTGCAGCTCTGTAATTCCTCTAAGCCCCTCTGGCTGAGGTATCTCAGCAATCAGGTTTGCATGCAGCTCTCCAGCCACGGCGCCTCTGGAGCAGCAGATGCTTCTCTGCCACCACTGCCCACAGGACAGAGTCCCATCTCCCTGGCTGGGGCTGCAGGGATCCTGGGGACCCTCTCACATGTGGATGAAACTTTGGGGCTCCCATGGGTGGTTGATGCCCTGCAAGCACCTGTGTCAATGCTGGGTCTGGGTGAGAGGAGACGCTCTAGGAGCCTTTGCCCTGCAACCCCTCCTATCCTGCTGCCTTTCCAGACCCCTGTGGCATCACCTGAGCCCTGAGAAAGGGCTGTGTCCCACTGGTAGCTCCCACAGTGCTCAGCACCCTCATCCCACCAAGGAGCCAGAGCTTCCGACACAGCTAAGTATAAACCGCGGGGGAGTGCGGCTGGTTGGAGACATCCTCCCTGGAGCCGAGCTTCCTTCCACGGTGTTTACACGCTGGTATCCAGGCAGATCCCAGAATAGACCTGAAGAAGAGCTGTCGCTTTGCATTAAGGTCACTTGTGCTCCAAACTGTCCCGGACGTGTCTGTCCCATCCCTCAGGAGCAGCCGCCCATGCCCACAACACTGTGCAGAGCACAGAGCCACGGGTACCACATCTGGGGGAGCAGGGGCTGCAGGGCCACAACAGAGGCTTCCATGGATTTGAAGAAGCCTTTCCAGTCCTGAAAGAGAGCCTGCAGAGAGCCCCTGATCAAGATACAAGATAAACCTCTTGTTCATCTCAATAGCATTTATTTCCTCCACAGCTGATTTAGCAGATTAGATCAAGGTCAAACGTGACCATTTCTCTTCCACCAGCTCAGTGTCTCCAGATTGATAATTTGTGAGAACAAGATGGATTTTGGCAGCCAATGAGAGTCCTGCTCAGCCTGCCCCAGCCCCAGCCCAGCCTCCTGTGGAGCCGGATCATCTCTTACCCTGTGGGCCTTGGAGGCGGGAGAATGGCTGTGTGCATTGAAATCAGCATGAAAAGGCTTTCCAAAGCCCACCCCGATCAATACAAAATATGGAAACCCATTGCAATCCTTCCTTAAGGATGTGGATACTTGATTCTGTCTCCTGAGATGGGGTCCAGGCAGGACTGAGCGAGCAGGGGGCTGCGCTGGGGCTGTGGGGCAGCTCTGAGGTAGGTGGGGAGGGAGCAGAGTCTGGCAGCCTGGGGATGTGCTGGAGCACAGCTCGGGTTTGGGGGTGGTGATGCAATCTGGAGCTGAGATCATTAATCACTTCTCTTTCTTGTAACGTGGAATAAGCCTATATTAATCCTTCATGCCGAAGCCCCTGCACGTCCTCCTCCCTGCCACAGCCTGGCTTCATTCCACCTTCTCCACTTCCCTGGAATGCACATTTGCCCTTTACAGACTGAAGCATGTTCAGTGTCTCATTAAAGAGTCACTTTACAGGGTGTTTTATTTCATGCTTTGTTAAGGACAGAATCGGGTAAATGCATCCTGGCAAAGGATCTAATAAAGAATTAGTCAACTTTCCAAAAGCATAAAACATGGTTTAATGGCAAAATCCATTAAGAATTAGGGTTCATGTGACAAATAACCCAGGGATGCTGGTTTGATGTTTCTGGGAATACACTGGCTTTAAGGACTTGGGATCCTGCAGGAACACTCTGACTGTCCCACTGTCACCCACCATGTCCCACCGCATCCCACCAGCCAGCAAGCCCCATCCCCTCACCTCCAGGACTGTGCTGCCTCCTCCTTGTCTGAAACCCCCATCTTCTCCCATCACAGAGAAAGCCTTTTGCTGCAGAGCACTAAAACCAATGAGCTGACCTGTGGGACAGCAACCACCATAATGGACTTCAGCTGCGAGAGGAAGGCAATAGCCCAAGAAAGCTCTGCAAAACTCCTCATGACAGGGGAGTTGACACTGGCAACGCCTTGGGGACCAATTCCCCTCCATCAGCCCATGGCAGGATGTGCATCAGCCCATGGCAGGATGCCCATGGGGGCCAGGACCAGTCCAGGGTGGGATGGAGAGGGAGGCAGAGACCGTCAGAACAAAGTGGAGGTTGCAGGGTCTCCCAGGTCCTACTCCCAGCAGCGTGTGTGGGGACACCAAGGTACCCAGGGGGAGCCAGGGGAGATTATTCAGAGCTGACACCAGTTGGTGGTTGCAGATGATGTGTGTGAAATGTCTCCTAATGTGCTAAGGGAATCAGCTAATTGATTTGCTGAACCACTTGCTAATTAAAGTATTAATGTTTTAACTTGTGGGAAACATAGTAGGAGAGGCCAGAAAACCCTCTGGGGCCAGAACACGTTTGCTGGTGGCTGGATCCATGACTCGACTGGCTGGCAGCAGGACACAGTGGCTTGGGGTGGGCACAGCTCCATCCTTGGCTGTCCCAGGGGTGAAGGACCAGCCCAGGTACTGACAGTGTGTCCAAAGACTCTCTAGGACCAAGGACTGGAAGCAGCACAGGGGCTGTCAGTGAATTTTGGTGACTCCATCCTTCAGGATAACTCATCAGCCTTTGTCTTTCCCTCTTATTCCTTATCTTCAACTCTTGCCAGAAACTGCTCTGATTTTCCAGAAGATGGAGCAAAGTCAGTTTTCATCAGTTGCTCAGTCCCTCTACACAGGCTCTTGTGTCATTCCTCCATCCCCATGGGCAGGATCACCCAGCAGTGTCCCTGTGTTTCAGATTTCACATCCAAGATGTGAAATCTTTTTTCCTTTTCATTCTGGTCCTGCCTAAATTGGTAGAATTGAAACACAAAAACCCCAAGTTAGGTCTAGCCCAAGCATTGTGCTTTTGTTTAAAGCACCTGCAATACTGACAGTGGTGATGTGCCCGGGGTGATCCGGAGGTTTATCTAGAGTCTGCTTGGGAAAGAAACCCTGGCTGCTGCTCCAGCCCCCCATCCCCGGGAGAACTGGCACTGTGGTGGGCACATGTCCTGGCTGCCCCCACGGGCACATCACAGCAGCTCAAACTGTTTTTGGGAGCAGGTCGGTGCCTTCGTGTGCAGCTGGGAAAGGGAGCACGTGCCTGGGCAGCCAGCAGTGGGGCTGGGGGCTTGCAGACCCCCCACGCCCACACAAGGGCAGGGATCCTGCAATTTAGGGGCTCCAAACCCTCCCAGGGGAGCTGAGGGGGCTGGAATTACGGTCTTTAAGTACCGTGCATTAAGCACTTTCCCTGGCAACTGCTGTTTCCATGGAAAGCTTTGACTCTGGCTCTCGGAGCTCTCTGCAGTATCTCACAAAGATCACCCTGTATTTCACCCCACAGACCACAGCCCAGACACCACACTTATGGTGGATAAATCTGTATTTACGCAATTATCCCCTGGCTGGGGCAGTGCTGGGTAGCTTTGGTCACTTGCTTTTTACCCCACAGGTTGTGTTGAGTTTGCTCAACACAAGGGGTGCCTAAGGGGGCTCTGCGAAGGCTTGTGTTGTGCTGTGGGGACCACAGCAGAGAGCAGCAGGGGTTCCTTCAGCCACAGCTTCTCAGGGGACTGATTTCACACCAGCAGCACAGTTACAATTTCATGCCCAGACTTGCCCAAGTCCCACTTTTTCCTGTTTTTTTTCAGACAGCGGATCAGGGGCGGCGCTGGTCCCTGTCAGCCCAGACCCTCTTGCTGCAGATGAGCTGGTGGACAAGATGGTCGGTGGAGCTGCAGAGTTCGGGCACGGCACAGGTTTGGCCGGTGGAGCTGAGGATTTTGGGCATGCCATGGGTTCAGATGGTGGAGCCGAGGAGCTGGGACATGGCACTGCACTCAACCTGCTGCCAGCCACGGAGGGCGGTGCCAAACCAGCAGCAGAGGAGACAACGTTGCTCATGCAGAGCCACGTCCTGCCAACAGCCACCACGGCCCCCAGCACTGATGCAAAAAAACCTGTCCCTGTTAAGAAAAAGCCACCAACTCCAAAGCAAATAAATATGGGAAGAAAGCACCCAAGGCTCAAGCCCACCCTGGCAGGGCCCCCTGGGACTGCCTCCCCAGCCAGCCCACTGCGCTCCCGGCTCCCCACCACTGCCCAAGATCCACGAGTGCCAGCAGAGGACATGGACCAGGGGCCCCCAGAGCTGCCCTGGGGGGACCAGGCCACCACCAGCTGCCCCACGCTGCAGATCTCCCCTTCCACCCTGCCACCAGCCCTGCCTCGGCCCTTCCCTGACAGCACAGGTGATGCTGAGGAGGTTCCGACCGCGGCTCCCAACGGTGACACCGTTATCCCGATGAACAGTGCGGAGAGAGACGTGCACAGCTCCTCATCAGAGGAGAGCCAAGAAACCACCACATCCACCATCGTTACCACCACTGTCACCACCACGGAGCCCACCCCAGGTAAGATGAGCTGCCAGAGCACAGGCACAGGGGTACGGCACCTGAGGGGGAGCAGGTCCGTGTTTAGGGCAGCCCCCCAAAACTAGGACACCACCTGGGTTTGGGGGGCTGCCTAAAATCTTGGTGCTCAGAGGGCTGGAGCACATCTCCTATGGGAAAAAGCTGGGAGAGTTAGGGTTGTTCAGTCTGGAAAAGAGAAGGCTCTGGGGAGACCTTAGAGCCCCTTCCAGTGCCTAAAGGGACTCCAATAGAACTGGAGAGGGACTTTGGACAAGGGCCTGATGTGACACGACAAGGGAGAATGGCTTCCCACTGACAGAGAGCAGGGTTAGATGGGATACTGGGAAGAAATTCTTCCCTGTGAGGGTGGTGAGGCCCTGGCACAGGCTGCCCAGAGAAGCTGTGGCTGTCCCATCCCTGGAAGTGTTCCAGGTCAGGTTGGACAGGGCCTGAAGTAACCTGGTCTAGTGCAAGGTGTCCCTGCCCATGGTAGGGGGTGGGACTGGATGATCTTTAAAGTCCCTTCCAGCTCAAATCACTCCCTGATCCTACGATTCAGTGGGATCAGCTGATTGAGGAGAGACCTGGGTGCTGGGTTTTGGGGTGCGGGAGGGAGCTGCCAGGTGACGGTCCCTCGGTGTGATTGCTGACGTGTGTTCCCCCAGTCCTGTGCAGCATGAGCTTCCACGACCCCGAGGGCTACATCGACTCCACAGACTACCCCCCGCTGCCCCTGCACGGGTACCTGCAGTGCACCTACAACGTCACTGTCTACACAGGCTACGGCGTCGAGCTCCAGGTGAGAAGAGCTTCAGTTTGGGGATCCTCACAGCCAGACCCCTGTGTTCACAGCAGCAAACTGTGCAAGGCACCCACAGCCCTGGGCACCACTGCCCTGGGCGCCTGCACTTGCTAAGATAAACCTTTCCAGGGAAAAAATAGATTTTTCTTAGGCCTCCTAATAAACAAACTGCACGAGGGAGCTGGTACACCCTGAATGTCAGCGATGATCAAACCGCTTAAATGTCACACAATTAATTTAACAACGAGGCACTGGCAAGCAATTTGCTAAAAAGGCACTTGGTTTTGGTGGGAAGAACACAAGTCCCCTGGTCCCTGCATCCCCCTGCCTGCTGGGAAAGGTGTGGGTGGCCCCAGTGGGTGCAGGAAGCCCTGAGGTAGTGGAGTGGGCAGCCCAGGTCCCCTCTCCAGCCAGTGCAGGTGCTCACCATGTGCCCTCCCATCAGAGTGGGACATTCTCACCAGGTTGATGTGCTCCATCAGCTCTCCCCAAAATACAGCACCCCTCTGCCTGATGAGGTTGGGAGCAGGGCAGCGGCCTCAATGCATTCCAAACACTCTCCAGGTCAAACCAGCCCAGAGTCCCCATACTCTGGCATTCAATTCTTTCTTCTTGCGTTCTCCCCATGTCACTGTTTGCATCCAATTAACATCCATTGACTTTTAATCTGTGTAATTAAGAATGTGCATTAGAAGGAGCAGGGGTTCCACTGGGGTTGTCCCCTTCAAGTGGGCACACGCTGTGGCTGATCCTGGGATACAATGGCAAGGTGGCCACCAGTCCCAGAAGTGGGGCAGTGGTGACAGCACAGGGTGAGCAGTGGGGTGTCTGAGCATCTCAGACACTTTTCCATGGCAGTAACTGTCTCCTCAGATCTGCAGGGTGCTAAAGACAGGCTGCTTTGCTGTAAATTCGCCTCTGCCCATAATCCATCAGGTGACACCACTCCTGAACTTGCTCTGTTGTAAGCCAAGGTTTTAATGGAGCATAAAATTAGCCTCTACACAAGCCCCCAAGCTTTGCATTTCCCTTTGTTGATGCTTCTGAGCATTTCAGACAAATTAAATCACAACAGCAGGTCCGTGCTGGCAGAGCATGGCCTCATCTGCAGCTGGGCAGTGCCCTGAGCTGCCCAACCACAGCTGGGCTGTGAGCTCCGGGGGCTCTGAGGTGAATTCCATCTGGTAGGTGCTGGATAATGCAGTGCACCTTCCCCAGCTGCCCCGTGTGATGTGGGTAATTGGTACAACTGGAGAGGTTTGGATTTAATTCACAACTCCTGGAGTGGGGATGGGGAGTAAGTCCTTATTGGGTTAGGAAGGGGATGAGCTTTCCTGCCACGATGGTGTAATGCAGGAATAATTCAAAGGGCATTCCTTTCTTCACGTGGGTGGGCTGAACTGGGAGCTCTGGAGGCTAGAGCCACTCAGGGATGCTGTTTTGGGAGATGCCAGATCAGGCTGGGCTGGGAGCTCTGGAGTAGGTGCTGTGTTGCTTTGTGTTATAGGTACTGTGGTGGGGTGACCTGGGGAGCTGGGGTGGATGGTTCCTGTGTGGAGCCTGAGCTGGTGCCCATCCCAGTCACAAGTGGTGCAGGGTCTCAGAAGGTCCTGCTGGAGGCTGAACATGGAGGGGTGTGTGAGAGCTTGGGGTCTCTGCTTGGCTCCCTGCCAGCAGCCCCCCCACATCCCTCACAGCAACTTGGGGACAGCTGTACCCTTGCCTGTCCCTGTGCCAGCCAGGCTGTGCCATGGCAGCCCTGAGAGCTGGGAGCAGCCAGCTCTCCAAATGCTTCGTGAAATTATATTTATTTTTAAAATTCTTGAATCTTCTTGGCAGGAAATAGAATTTCCCTAAAGAGGTTTTCTAGTGGGTGAGCGAGGCTGGCAGCCTGACTTGAGGATCCCTCCTGCCTTCCCAACAGGCTCTGGAGGAGCTGACATCAGTGCAGACATCGATTAAAGTTAGAACCGGTCCTCCCAGCCCCTGGCAGGAGCTCACACATATGGTCCCTCTCACAGCGCTGACGGTCCCTGGCATGAGGCCACTGCATCGTCTGGGCTCGCTGGGTACTCTGGACTCCTCTGACGATGCCAGCCTGGTGCTGGCACAGAGAATGGCATGTGACACTCACAGTGACACCCAGCTCCGGGCTGCTCTGGGCCTGGGTTTGCTGGAGGATAGGCTGCTGGTGGAGTCGAGTGGTGTATGTGTGTGTGTGTGTGTGTGTGTGTCCCATGGCACCCAGCAGTGCTCTTCAGCTTCCTCCCTTCCACAGAGCTCTGCCTGCTCCTGCTGCTCTCCTGAATCCCCTTCCCAGGGCAGAGCTGCTCCAGCAGCACTCCTGAATGCTCCCCTTCCCAATTTCCTGGAGTGATTTGGCTCTGCATAGTGTGCATGATGCCATCATCACCAGAGGGAGCCAGCTGGGGAACAGGTTTGGCTGGAGGGATTTCAGAACAAAATGTGTTAGAAACACCCTGGGAACATCTTTGCAGGGATTCAGACCCAGCTGGGGAAGCAAAACTCTGTCCTGGTAGGAGCTGGCAGGAAGTAGTTAGCATTGTGTGGAGCCCACTCAGCATCCCTGGATCCCATGTTCCAAATAATTCATCCCAAATAACACTTCATTCCATTTATTAATAATTATATCTGAGCCATCCCACAAGCTGCAATGTGTGCCAGCTGTGCTGGGGAGGCACATTTCTGGGACAAAACCTGGAAAGGAAGGAATGACCTGGGGCAGGCTGGGGGCTGGGTTTGCACTGAGCCCATGTTTCTGATGATGCTTTTATCTGCCAGGACCCAGCACCCTGCTGCAAAATAACGGCAAAATCAGCTCCTCCTGGATTAAAACATGGGCTGGGGTGAACTCAGGCATACTCTGACCCAGCCTGGGGGTGCTCAGTCCAGCCCCACAGCAAAGATCAGGCTTTTCCAGGGATTTTCCTTCAGGTCAGGCAGGGAGTCATTTGGTGGGACTAGGGTGGTTTCTCCAGAGGAAATCTCCCTCCTCCCAGCAGAAAGGCAGAGGATGCCAAGGGCTGTGTGGGGGTCCATGTAGTGCCAGCGGCTGTGTCCTGCCTTGTGGGCCAGGGGGAGGTGGCATGGTGGTGACAACAGCCACCAATCCCTCCAGTCACAACATCACCGGGAGCGCTTGTAATCACAGGCTGGGCTGGGTGCTAAATATAGAGCCCTGGGCTCGCACACTTAAGGAAACAAACGATCTGATGAGCATCTTTCTGCTGAAATATGAGCCCATTTATTAAGCTAAATGGACGTGAAATGCAAATGTGAGGTTACTGCTCAGCTATTTCCAAATAATAATTAAAGGCTTTTGGGACTACTCATTAGACGCACTAGCTGTGTGACTCCCCACCACTCCCCCCACTTGGTGGGGTGAGGGATCCTGGGGAGGATTCCCGGTGCACGGAGTGGATGGTGAGCACTGAACAGAGGGAGGGCTGTGCTGGTGCAATGCTCTGTGGGCACTGTGTGTCCAGGGCTGGGATGTGAGCCCTCACCTGGAACCCTTCACCCGCAGCTCACAGGTCTCTGCTCCCCCCCAGGTCAAGAGTGTGAACCTGTCTGACGGGGAGGTGCTCTCCATCCGTGGTGTGGATGGCGATGCCCTCGTGGTCCTGGCCAACCAGACCCTGCTGGTGGAGGGCCAGGTGATCCGCAGCCCCACCAACACCATCTCCGTCTACTTCCGCACCTTCCAGGACGAGGTGGTGGGGACCTTCCAGCTCCACTATCAGGGTGAGTGTCTCCCTGATGTGGGTAGGGGTGGGATGGGGGTCAGTCCCATGGGGCTGCAGGGGTGGGAGGATGGTGGGCTCTGCCTGCACAGACCAGTTGTGCTCCTGTTGCACTGCCTGCCCATGCTCAGAGCATGGGGTGGTCAAGGTGTTGTGCCCAGAGCAGACGGTTCAACGTGCCCTGATGTCTTCAACTGGCAATGGCTGTGCCTTTCACGCCTGCCTTGCCCTGTTTCTGTCCCTGTGCAGCAGCTCTTCCTACACACACTGAGACTGTGAGTCTATTTTTTACCTCGAAGAGCTGTAAAAAATAAATGAGTTCAAGCAAATTATTTTTAAAATAGAAACTGGGTCTGGGCAAGAGCAGTAACAGGTGAGGAAGCAGCAGAGCAGGGGGTTGGCACCTGGCAGCCAGGTCTGTCTGTGACACGTGGGGACATCCAGCACGTCCCTACGTTCACCCCCCTGTGGAGTGGCTGGGAGCAGACGAGCCCTAAACTCCAAATGGGTGTGCTTGTTGCAGTGTTTATGCTGAGCTGCAACTTTCCACGGAGACCTGACTTTGGAGACGTCACTGTGATGGATTTGCACTCAGGTGGAATTGCTCACTTTCACTGTCACCTGGGCTACGAGCTGCAGGGTCCCCGGGTGCTGACGTGCATCAACGCGTCCCGGCCGCACTGGAGCAGCCCCGAGCCCATCTGCTCAGGTACGCTGCACACCCTCAGAGCTAAGGAAAACTGGGGTCCACAACCAAAAATGTAGTCCCTTCGCTGCACACCCTCAGAGCTAAGGAAAACTGGGGCCCACAACCAAAAATGTAGTCCCTTCGCTGCACACCCTCAGAGCTAAGGAAAACTGGGGTCCACAACCAAAAATGTAGTCCCTTTCTTCGTGCCATGGGTTGAGTGAGGTCCTGGGAGAAAGTGAGAGCGATGCCCAGCTCTGCACACAACACAGCCCGAGGTACTGCTGTTGGCCAGGCAGTGACTGCAAAATCTATCCCCTCATTAGGCAGGAAAGGAACAGGAAATTATAGATTTTATGTGTAAGTGCAAGTATATATGTGTGAGTATAAATATGTACAGATAGAGCAAAGCTAAACCAGGCAAGAAGTTTGTGCATTAGGGACTGAAGAGAGCTGGGCAGGTGCCAGCGGAGGGGGTCATCCATGGGCTATGGGACTACAAATGCCCCCGTCCCCTCTGCCCTGCCCCATCCCCTTTGCCTTGCCCCGTCCCCCTGCCCATACCAGTGTGGCTGTGCTCTGTTCTGACAGCTCCCTGCGGAGGGAAGGTCCACAATGCCACCATCGGCCGTGTCCTGTCACCCAGCTACACTGGGAACCAGTCCAGCAGCATGTACTGCGTGTGGGCCATCGGAGCACCCCCGGGACAGAAGCTGCACCTGCATTTTGAGAAGCTCCTGCTGACCGAGAAGGACAGGTGAGGGTCCAGGAGCCACCTGGGTTTGGAAGTTCCCAGCTGGTCCCAGCTCCCCTACCTCAGACCTCCTGGGGCTGGGTGGGACACAGGGACTCCTGTCCCACGTAACGTGCCGTGTCCCGCCGTGCAGGATGGTGGTGTACAGCGGGGACACCAACCAGTCTGCTGTGCTCTACGACTCGCTGCGTGCGGAGAGCGTGCCCTTCGAGGGGGTGATCAGCGATGGCTCCTCCATCAGGATCGACTTCCTCGCGGAGGAGCCCGCGGCCGCCACGGCTTTCAACATCCGCTTCGAAGGTGCTGTGTCCTCATCGCGGTGCCCCGGGGGCAGTGCCCCGAGAGCTGTGCCCAGCCTCAGCCAGCACACCCGGCCTCGGGGCGCTTGGGTAGTTACACATGGCTGCAGGAGGGGTCTCAGCTGCCACTGGCACCAGCAGACCTGGTGCTCCCCTGTGCTACTGTCCCTGTGTCACTGTGGGCACACAGGGTGACCTGAACCTCATGGGTGCTGTAAGAGCTTTGGGGAATATATTTGTCTAGGAAAAAATAGGGAAAGAAATAGTGAAATGGCATTTCCTCCAGCAGGAAAGCTTGTTGGTGAGCTGAGTGTCCATGGGACATGTCTCCTGTGGCAGGGATAGGGCTGTCCTCCCACTTACCCATCTGCCATCCTCCAGATCCATCTCCTTCAGGGACAAGGTGCAGGACCAGCCCTGGCAGCTCACACAGCTTTGCTCCAGTCATTTAGGTGGATCCCACTGGAGGATCATTCCCACGGGAGCCCTGTGCCCCCAAGCAGGCTCGGTAGCACTCAGTAATCCCAGGGTGGATGGCTCAGCAAACATAGTGCCTGGCAGTGCTGTGAGCATGTCCCCACAGGAGTGGGGTTTTGTTAAACCTGCATGGCTCAGGGCAGATAAATTGTTGCTAATCCTAATTGCCTGTAAAACGTGCCATGGAAGAGGCTGTCCATGCTAGTGGGGATGCAGGGGTTGGTTCCTGGCTGGGGACAGTAGCAGAACCTGGGGCTCACCCAGTGAACCCCAGAGAGGAAAGAAGCTCCATGTCCCTGTGGCTAACAGGACTTCTCTTCCAGCCTTCGAGCGGGGCCATTGCTATGAGCCCTACATCCAGAACGGGAACTTCACCACCTCCGACCCCACCTACAACCTGGGCACCACTGTGGAGTTCACCTGTGACCCCGGGCACTCCCTGGAGCAGGGCCCCGCTGTCATCGAGTGCGTCAACATGCGGGACCCGTACTGGAACGACACGGAGCCACTGTGCCGAGGTCAGTCCCTGTGTCACGGGCAGTAGTGGGCAGTGAGGGTGAACACCCCTGTGACCCCGCTGAGCTCTGACCACCTCTCGCTCTCGCAGCCACGTGTGGGGGGGAGCTGACCGCTGTGGCTGGGGTGATCCTGTCCCCCAACTGGCCGGAGCCCTATGCAGAAGGGGAGGACTGCATCTGGAGGATCCATGTGGGTGAGGAGAAGCGACTCTTCCTGGACATCCAGCTGTGAGTAGCCCAGGACCTCAGTATCTGTCTCTGCCCCAACAGAACACAGCCCCCTTTCCTGTAGTATCCCGCTCTCCTTGCCCCAGGGATCTTGCACCATCATGGGATCATTGAATCCCATAATGGTTTGGGTTGGAAGGGATTTTAATGCTCATCTCATTCCTTGTCATGGGCAGGGACACCTTTCACTAGACCAGGTTGCTCCAAGCCCTGTCCAATCTGGCCTTGAACATTTCCAGGGATGGGGCAGCCACAGCTTCTCTGGACAACCTGTGCCAGGGCCTCACCACCCTCACAGAGAAGAGCCATGCCATGTTCCTGTTCTCCCACTCAGAGCTTCCCTAATCCCTGTGCACTTGGCACTGTGGGCAGGACTGAGTGCTGCTCCCTGAGTTCAAAGCACTGTTACACCATCCATTGCAGCAGTTTATTGCTCCTTCAATGGCTTTGGAACTTGCCACAGGGAGTGACGACACAGCAGCACGTGGCCATGTGCCACGTGGGGTGACACACAGCACCATCAGGAGCTGGGTTATATGGGGTTAGGAGAACCTGGGGGCATCCATGAGCTACAAACAGCTGAATCTTTGGGCTGACTGTGAAATACAGGCACTAAGGGAGCGGAGCCCAGCAAGGACTCAGCACAGGCTGAGCATGCCGGGATCAGAGGGAACGAGATCTGATGCTGGGGCTAGGAGCCCTTGGCATGGTAATGCTGCCTCTGTAGAGGGAGTCTCCTTTGATGCTATTTTGGGTTTTCAAGGGGAGGACGTGTTTCAAGTAGAGGCTTAGAGTCATAAAGGTTTTAAAGCTTCCCATAAAATCCCAAGTCAGAGCTCCCAGTGCACCTTTCCTAGCTCTGTGGGTGCTTGGGCTGAGCAGAACTGGAGGCCAAGTGATTTGAAATCATCAGACATAAATGTCACTGAGAAAATCGTGTTTGACAGAAAGCAGAGATTTACTACAAATGTCAGCTTGCCATGGGGATTAGCTGGGCTCCTTCCAAGAACATTCCTAATAAGCCGTTTGAGTATCAGCTCAGAAATCTCCTGTGGGGCCAGGAGCACCCTGCTGCTTCTCCCCTGGCCCTCTCCTGCCCTGGGGAAGGGGAGGATGGGGGTGTTCCTGCCTCAGCCCCTCCTGTGCCACCCAGTAGCAAAGCGCTGGTGCCGGCTATGCCCCCACTACTGGTGCTGGCTGTGCTCCCAGCGCCGGAGAGCCTTGCTGGGATGCGGACTCGGCAGGACAGCGAGCAGGGAGGGGGGTGTCGGTGCCCACTCTTGGGGCTCATGTGATCCGTTCAGCCAGAGAACCCGCCTGGCAGCAGCGCTGGCACCAGAGCCATGTGTCCCCCGGGATGTGCATCCATCTCCTGCCCTTGGCCTGGCAGCGGGGCGAGAAGGCGAGCCCACCCCATCCTCTTCGGCTCCAGGGCAGCCGCATCCCCGCCGCAGCCGGGGCGGATGGATGCTGCGGCCGGCGCTGCCCGGTGTCCCCGGCAGTCCCCGCCATCCGCGGGCCGCCACTGCGCTCTGCTGGCCGCGGGGACGAGCGCGGCGTCGCCGGGACCGGCACTTGCACGGGCAGGGACGCGCTGCCCCGGGAGCCACCGGCACCGCCCCGATCTCGACCCCCGGAGCCACACCCGGAGGGCAGAGGGAGCCGTGGGGCTGCGGCCCAAACAGGCGGGGACGGGACAGTGCCACAGCGCTGCCCAGTCTGCCTGAGGAGGGAACAGGGAATGGGACAGGGACAGGGACAGGATGAGGATGTGACAGGTATGGGAACGGGGACAGGTACAGGATGGGGATAGGATGGGAATGGGACAGGGACAGTATATGGACAGGGATGGGGACAAGAGAGGGATGGGGATGGGACGGGACAGGGATGAGCCACAAGGCAAGTTTGCTGCACTGCAGTGTTGGGGCAAGTGATCACCTCACTGCCCTTTGAGTCCCACACCATTGCATCCTGTTTGGGTTCCTTGCCCTGCTCTCTAACCAAACTCTCCTCTCAGCCTGAACATCACCAACAGCGACATCCTCACCATCTACGATGGGGACGAGCTCACCGCCCGCATCCTGGGGCAGTACGTCGGCAGCAGTGGCCCCCAGAAGCTCTACTCCTCCAGCCCTGACCTCACCATCCAGTTCCACTCAGACCCCGCCGGGCTCATCTTTGGGAAGGGGCAGGGATTCATCATGAACTACGTAGGTACGGAGAGCGGGGGGCTGGTGTGTCCCCTGCCCTTGCCATGAAGGTGGGGATGTGACACACAGTCAGCCCAGGCTGTCCAGGTGCCAAGTCTGGAAGAGGGAAAAACGGCTGTGACGCCAGCATTCCACATCCCACCAACCTCCTGCAGGACCCCCAGCCCAGCCAGTTCTGTCTCTGGGTCAGCCAGTTCTGGGGTGTCCCTGTGTGCCTCCCTCCTCCAGGCTGGCAACAAGGCAGTGGCATTTTTGGTCCCTGTTAGCCTTGGTCTGGCCCAGAAGGAAAGAAATTGCTGGAAATGGGGATGCAAGATCCCCACACACATCCTGCCAGGCGTAAGCTGATGGCAGAGGAGGTCACTGAAGCCAGTCCCTGGGTGGGCTCTTGAGATGGATGTTCCCAGCTCCCAGCTCCTTGCTCCAGAGTGGCTCAGAGCACCCAGAGACATCTGTTCCATTGTCCTTTGAGGCAGCCCTGTCTGCCAGACTGGAGTGGGGAGTGCCCACGCAGGGGACAAGTACTGGGGAGGGCACTCCTTCCCCATGGCTGCCTGTGGCCTTGCTGGCTGCCTCTCCTCCTCCTGCCTTCCCCTGCCAGACTCCTTCCAAGCATGTTTTCCTTGTGCTGCTGACAGCCCTGGCTATGACAAAGAGAGCAAACTGCAATGCAGAGCACCTGTGAGGCTGCAGGTCCCTCCTTGGTGCTCTGCAGCACACGGGGTCAGGCTCAGCTGTGGGCACAGGGCTGGGGAGGGCAGGGCAAAACCGGGAGAGCAGGGCACAGACCCCTCACCTGAGCAAACCAACCACGGTACCTGCACTGATCCTGCACCTGCAGCCAGAGTTGAGCCTGGTGTTCCCAGGTTGTCCTGACCCCAGCACAGGTACTGCCCCATCTGAGCCCTTTGTCTGCTGGTAGGGTCAGGGCTGGGGAGGTTTCAAAGAGCTCCCATCACCCACTGCTGCCCCTTCCCTGTGCCCAGGGGTTGCCACCTGCAGACCAGCTGCCAGCTGTGGCTGTGCCATTTGTGGACTGTGAGGCTGGAGAGCTCTGGGGAGGGACAGGCACTTGGGCCATGAGTCTAGGTGTGGTGGCTCCAAGGAGGGCAGTGCCATTCGGTGAGTGACAGCCAGAATCCCTCTTGGCTGCAGAGGTGTCTCGCAACGACTCCTGCTCTGACCTGCCCGAGATCCAGAACGGCTGGAAAACCACGTCGCACACGGAGCTGGTGAGAGGGGCCAAGATCACCTACCAGTGTGACCCAGGCTATGACATCGTGGGGAGCGACACCCTCACCTGCCAGTGGGACCTCAGCTGGAGCAGCGACCCCCCCTTCTGTGAAAAGAGTAAGTGCCCCAGCAAGGTGCTGCTGTCCTGGTCCCACACCCCCGTAATGGTGCTGGTCCTGCTGCCATGCCGGGGCTCCCTGCTCCAAGGGGACCCTGTGCTCAGCCATCCTCTCCTCCCCAGTTATGTACTGCACAGACCCAGGGGAGGTGGAGCACTCGACCCGCCTCATCTCTGACCCAGTGCTGCTGGTGGGCACCACCATCCAGTACACCTGTAACCCCGGCTTCGTGCTGGAGGGCAGCTCCCTGCTCACCTGCTACAGCCGCGAGACTGGGACACCCATCTGGACCTCACGGCTCCCGCACTGTGTCTGTGAGTTTGGGTTGTCTCTCCTGCTCTCCTGCAGTTCAGCTCCTCTTTGGGGGTCCCAGGGAGTCCTTCCCTGAAGCTGGGACCTTTCCCAGCAGGGGGGTGGTGCAGAACTTTGAGCTACCTGGAAGCAGGATGGGGTGGGACTTCAGGTACTTCCCGCTGCCCTCCAGGGTCTTTTTCTCCCTCAGTAGTCTAAGCCCTGAGCTAACCCCGGATTGTTTCGTTCCCTTTCAGCTGAGGAGTCACTGGCCTGTGATAATCCAGGACTGCCAGAAAATGGGTACCAAATTCTTTATAAGCGCCTCTACCTGCCAGGAGAGTCCCTGACCTTCATGTGCTATGAGGGCTTTGAACTCATGGGGGAGGTAACCATCAAATGCATCCTGGGCCAGCCGTCCCACTGGAGCGGACCCCTGCCCATCTGCAAAGGTAACGTGGGGGGCCTGGGGGACTTGGGGATAGCTCATGCCTCTGTCTCCAACTTGGGAGAGCCCGGGGACAGCCCTTGGTCTGGCTGCAGACCTTGGCAGGTCTCTGGCAGGGAGCTGAACTCATCTGAGACCTGGAGCTTCTCTGGCTTTGGGCTGAGTGAGCTCTGCTCGACCCAGCCCGCTCAGTCCTGGCCATGTACTTACAGACACCAAAAGTTTATTAAAATCTGGGAGTTCACAGTGTGGTTTGGGACCAAATGGGGCAGGAGACCCTGAGTCTGGGCTCCCCAGCAGCCCACCACTGCCAGTGCCCAGTCAAACCCAGCTACATACCAGTAATTCTCCATTTCTCTTCCAGTGAACCAAGACAGCTTTGAACACGCTCTGGAAGGTGAGCGATGAGGGTTTGCTGGATGTGCAGGGACCTGAGCCAGGGCCTGGTGGAGCCTGGGAGGAGGGAGAGAGGCAGAGAGGGCATCACACGGTGCCTGCAAATGCCAACATAATAGATCTTGTCCTTTCAGTAGCAGAAGCTGCTGCAGAGACATCGCTTGAGGGTGGAAATATGGCCTTGGCTATATTCATCCCAGTGCTGATCATCTCCCTGCTGCTGGGAGGAGCGTACATCTATCTCACAAGGTGGGGATACAGTTGGGCTGGGGACCATCGCAAAGCAGGGGGGACACAGTCAGGGCTGGCTCAGCATTGCCGTGCCCTTGCCAGCTGCACACCCTGGGCATGGTCCTCGGGAGCGCTTCGGGGCCCTTGGGGTGCTGGTGGGGGGCTGGGAGGGGAGAATTGGCAGATGGGGTTCTGCTCCGGGGTTGGTCCGTGCAGCCCAGTGACTCCAGCATCTCCCGCAGGTGTCGGTACTACTCCAGCCTCCGCCTGCCACTCATGTACTCCCACCCCTACAGCCAGATCACAGTAGAAACAGAGTTCGACAACCCGATTTATGAGACAGGGGTGAGTCCTTCTGCACCTGTCCTCCTTGGGGACCCTCCTGAGGGGTTTGGCTGGGTGGGCAGCCACGGGATGAGTCCAGCCACACTGCTGTGGGAGTGCTGAGTAGCAGGGCAGGAGTCTGTCCATGTTGGTCACTCACCAGGAGCTGGGTCGGTGGTGCAGAGGGTGAAGGGTCCTAACTGGGAGGGCATCACTCCCCTGAGGACAAAACAATACCCAGGATCTTTCTTGCTGCCTGGGAATGGGGAGATGATCTTGAAATGCAGCTGCTGCCCTCAACTGGCTTTTCCTTCCTTTCAGGAAACACGAGAATACGAGGTTTCAATATAAGGACAGCGGTAAGAGAGTCTCCGGCTGTGAACTTAATGTGCTCTCATAGAACTTCCTCAGTAACTAATCCAGAGGCCACGTGGAGTTTGGTTGGACCCCCGGACCTGCTGTTGTCTTTCCTTTTGCCTCTTTATTGAAGATTTTACTGTTTTCTTCACTGTATTTATTCTATTTAAACTGCGATAGGTGTGCTGCCAAGCCCTGGGCACAGGCAGCAGCGGGAGCCGGGGCAGAGCTGGGTCCTGGTGAGGCCTGGAGGGCACGGGGGCACCTGCTGTGTCCCCCTCCATGGCAGTGTGTCCCCTGGTACTGCCCACACATGCAGAGGGATTTTTGCGGTTCTGGTGTTGTTAAAAATTAAAGATGTCTCCATTGCAAGAGCCTGCGGTTGATTGCTGGGAGCTGAGGTAGCGCAGGGTCCCCTGCAGGGTTCCCATCCTGCAGCTCCCAGCTCCCCAAGTAGGACCCTCACCCAGGGGCTCGGGTGGCACTGGTGCACGGATCATCCTTGCTGCAGGGCTCAGGAAAGCTGTCATCCAGGGAGCCAGGACAGCCTGGCACTCATGAGGCACACACTGCGTTCTTGTCCCACTTTGCGTTGGATGTGGAGAGGCAGGGAGCCAGGACTCATGGGGTGATGCTCTGCAGAGAAGCACCAAGCAGTGACCCCCGGCTGCCAGCCCAACAGGGTGGGCAGCCCTGGAAGCTGCCCTGCAGCGAGCGGAGCTCTGCAGCCGGTGCCTCTGCTCATACCAGTTGTTCCTCTCAGCAGCACCTCCAGTCACCCTGCCAGGAACACCCCGACCCAGTAATGGCCTGAGGCCACCCCTTGCCCCCCTGGCAGCAACTCAGGGTAAGCAGGATGGGCTGGGCTCCCTGTCACCGCTCCTTCCACTGCAGGAGGGTCTGCGGCCGACCCCGGCGTCCAGAGCTGGAGCAGCACATCCCACCCAGCACCTCCCGGATTAGCACCTGGCTGGGTCTCACAGCTGAGCAGGAGACGGAGAGGGGCAGGGAATGAAGATGGAGGTATATTGGGAATGGAAGGCAGATGGGATGCGTGGGGGCTCTGACACAGGAGACCAGCCTGGGGGGAGCAGAACAGCCCCTCAGAGCTGGTCCTGAATCCCAGTTCCACCCTTGGCATGCCCTGTGCTCCTCCATCACCTCTGCCAGAGCCAGGCACTGGCAGGGTCACCGTGTCTGCAGGGACACAGACCCCAAAAGGACACCCTGTCCCTGTGCCCCCTATGCCACAGCCCCCAGCCAGCCCCTGGGGAGGGCAGTGAAGCCACCACCACATCCTTGGCTGCCAGTGTCCTTCTTTTGTCCTTGTAGAACAATCACAATCGCGGGAGGCTGGGTTAGCTTGGGGTGGTAGTGCAGCTCTGCAGTGTACAGCTGGGATTTGGGGTTTTTCCTTTAAAAACAACGAATGTGTGTTTGTAATTTGTAAAGGTTAAAAAAAAAAAGGAGAAAAAAAAAAAGAAAAAAAATGTGCCAAAAATGTACGATGCATTTCATTTCCCTTCATACATGTCTGTTTTTATAAGAACAATGTGAAAATTGCTGGGATTAAATATTTTTGAACATGATAAAGTAGTTCCGTGGGAAACTCTAGCGTTCAGTATAACCTCGATACCAATTGTTCTGTGTTTTTAAATGTCTGAAATCAGTTTGCAGAGACTCGGGCCGCAGGCTGCAGCGGTGCAGGGGAGAGTGAGGGCCGGGCATGCTGCGTGCCCTCCTGTGGGATGGTGGCCCGATGCCACTTGCTTGGCTCTGAGTGCCAGATCCTGCCCTGGTGCAGCCCCATAGTGCCCCTGCTCCTGTGGGATGGAGGCACCCAAGCCCTGCTGGGACACGGAGTGAGCTGGCACAACCCTGGGGACATCTCCCCCCAGCACACCCTGGGGGAGCCAGCGCTGGCTCCCCCTGCACCCTCTGAACTCAGCATTGCCCGAGGCACTTGGGACCCCACAGGAGACTTGTGGCCCTGTTACGGAGGACATGCAGAAGGTTTGGGGGAGCCCTGTTAGCCCATTCCCTCGGGGCAGGGGGTTTGTGAGGATCCATCCTGCGGGTGCCCTGCTCACCCATCAGCTGCCCAACTACCCGTGGCTGTCACCTGGCAGCTCCTATGGCTGAGGCAGGACAGCTTTCCAAAACCACAGGGAGAACATGGTGGGACGGGGGGGGGCTGCTTGGCCTGCCCCCCTCCATACAGCTTCAGACCAGCTGCATCCCATAGGCATGGCTCAGGGAAGATGCCAGGGCTAGGTGGGAAAAGTCCCCCTGCTGCTCCCTGGGAGCCTCTCCGGGCTGAACTGCTCTGGTGGCTGTCGAGACAAACCTCCAGGAGGTTTCCCCCCAGCATCAGCTGTGGGTAGGACAGGGTCATGTGGGGGGACCCTGAGCACGGGACGCCCTGAGCATGGTCCTGCTCAGGAGTGTGGTGGCAGAAGGGTGGCTGTCACCTCGCCAAGAAGCAGGGCCACCGGGATACCCCAGCTGAAACAGTGTTTCCTGATGCTTGCAGAGTTCCTGGTGTCCCTGGAAGCGGGAAGGGAGGGGGATGGTCAGGGAAATGCCCTTTCCCAGGGCATCCACCCGTCCAAGGAATCCTGGGGTCTTCCATCCATCCCCGCACCTCCCTACACAAAACAATGCAACAACCTTGCCCTCTCTAAATGTGCTTTTAAACAAGGTTATGCTGTGACATCGATAATGGCTTTGCATAGCAGCTGCCAGGCTAATGCACAGGGGGCGAGGGAGCCAAAGCTCTGATGCAGAGCATTCCTGGGGGAGGGAGCTCGGGCTATTTTTAGACAGAGATTGCAAGAGAATTAAAGTGAAGGGAAAAAAGCCCAAACCCTTGATGCTGCCGTTCCTCCTCGGTGACGTAAAGCCGGAGCCAATCTCTGGCCTCACGCGTTGTGCTGCAGATGAAGCTTTGTCTGGGCACAGCAGCCTCAGATACAACTCACCTCCCGCCCTGCACTGGGCCAAGCAGGGGACAGAGCGTGTCTGTGCCATGGCAGCCACGTGGCTGAGGGACCCCTGGGCTCAGGGGATGGAGCTGCAGGGACCCCTAAACTCCTTTCCAGCTGCACTGCAGAGTGGTGAGGCACAGCATCCCTGCCCGCTCTGGGGGAGGCACAGCATCCCTGCCCAGCCTAGATGAGCTGGGAAAAGCCCTGGGATGTCCTTGGCACAGTTCTACCAGCGGCACCCTGGCAGGAGCCCAGTACGCGGGCAGACTCCTGGCTCCAGTGGTTCCTTCTCCCTTTTCACGAGATGTCCTCCTGGGGCACACACTGCCCGTATCCTCCCCTCAGCTGCTGCCAAAACTGCGCCTGTGTTCTGCCAGGGCTGGGATTTCCTGGAGTGTTTAGGCTGGAGATGGGAGAGCGCTCCTGGAGGGGCCCTCCCTGTGCTGAGGAATCACAGAATCATGGAATGGTTTGGGTTGGAAAGCACCTTTAAAGACCATCCATATGCACCCCTTGCCACAGGTAGGGACACCTTCCACTAGACCAGGTTGCTTCAACCATCCAACCTGGCCCTGAACACTTCCAGGGATGGGGCAGCCACAGCTCCTCTGGGTAACCTGTGCCAGGGCCTCACCACCCTCACAGGGAAGAATTTCTTACCAATATCCAATCAAAACCTATTCACAGTTTAAAGTCATTCCCTCTTGTCCTGTCATTCCAGGCCCTTGTCCAAAGTCCCTCTCCAGCTCTCTTGGAGCCCCAGAAGAAAGCCAGGGGCAGGTTGTCCCACAGGGAAGTGTTGAGTGGCAGAGCTGGGGACCAGGGCCGGGGGGGCCAGCGAGGACAGGGAGCAGAAGACAGAGGGAGGAGAGAAAGAACAAGAGAGGGCCCAGAGCTGCGGAGCCTGTGACTGCTGACAGAAGGATGTGTTGTCTGACAGGAGCAGGAGCTGCTGGCTGAGGCTGGGGGTCTGGGAAGGAGCAGGATGAAATAAAGTCCCGCTCCTTTCACCCTGCAACACACAACGCTGCCAGGGCCCTGCAGCAGCAAACTGGGGTGGGGAATGTCCTGGTGGGAACATGGGGAAGCAGCAGGAGCAGGCAGGAGGCAAAAATGTGTCAGGACAGAAAACAAGGAGCAGCTTAGGTCTGCAACAGCAGGGGATGAGGTTGCTCAGAGGAAGCATACGCACACCTGAGGGGCTGAGCAGGGAAGTTCTAGTCCCACTTCTAGAGCCCAGCTCGAGCTGTGCCAGAGGAGGATGCGCAGGCACCGGATGGCCAAACCTGCAAAACAAGGCAGGGCTTTCCTTGTGCCAGGAGCAGTGACACGTGTCCCACGCAGCTCCACGTGGCACTGCGAGAGGGCAGGGCAGTGTGCTCTGCCTGCACCCCGGCTCTGCCTGCAGGCAGGGGAACGGAGGAGGGAGGGCTGGAGCACTGGGCCCCCTGGGGCCCTCTGATCTGACAGCAACGGCTGAAGTGAACAGGCTGGGGAAGAAAAAAGGAAGCAGGAAGGCTCACAACAAACTGTTTCTCCACCAGCACTTCAAAGTTGTTAAGGGACATCCCAGCCTGGGAACAGCTTCCCCCCATCCCAGGTGCCACAGCACATCATCACATCCTCGCTGAGGATGCCTGCTGCTGCCTCCCCTAGCTGCCTGCATCCTAAGCATTGCCTCCCTGGGAGTTCCTGTCCTCTGCATGCCAGGTGCACTCATCCTTGGGGACCAGCAACCCCTGCATCCCTAGGGCTGCAGCCCCAGGGGCCTGAATCTCTGGAGCCAGTACTTCCCACATCCCTGAATCCCTGGGTGCTGCATCCCTGGAGCCAGCATCCTGCACATCCCAACTGCTGCATCCCTAATAACCTGTGTCCCTGGAGTCAGTCCCTGCAGTCCCATCCCTTGGGTGCCTGCATCCCTGTGTGCTCCCACCCCTGGGACCACCATCCCCGGGGCCAGCATCCTCTGCACTCTGACTGCTGCAAATCCCAGTGCCTCAATACTTGAAGCCAGAGTCCCTGCACATCCCCTGCACCTCGTGGTACCCCCGCACCTCCTGCGCCCCCGCCGCTGCAGCCCATCCCCTGTGTCCCCGGGGCGGTGTCCTGGGATTCCCGCCGCCGGGATGGGCACTCCCTCCGGGACCATACCCCTCCAGCCGCTCCACCCCCCCGGGACCCCTCCCGAGTGCCGCAACCCCGCGGCTCCCCCCGCCCCTCCCGCCTGCGCGGTGCGGGAGCGCGGTGCGGGGGCGGACGCACCGCCCCGAGGCCGCGGCGAGGGGCGGGCGCGGGGGCGGGCGGGCGGTGCCGGGGCCGGGGCCGCAGCTGCCGCCCGGCGCGGTCCCGGCGGGGGCGGTGCGGCCCCTCCTGCCCGGGCTGCT